CACAAAGAGAACATCTTGTTTATTCACGTATACATAAAATATTGAAAATAAAGGATGCTGTTCAAATGCTGTGGTTAACAATATGCGGATATAAACTACTAATTTATTCAACGTTCAGGAAATTTCACATACTTATCAGTATTTCATGGATTTCACAGCACAACTAATTTGTGGCATCTGATTCTATAGTCAACTCTCCATTATGTGTATCCTTTTACAGATTCATTGTTGAAAGGAATCTCGCTACGCCGATTAGATTGGCAACAATGCATTTGCTTTCCGCTTCAATACACTTTTGATTTGTTATGCGCTGACACACTCGTATTTAACTGGGTGTTCATTCGGCTATATTATAAAAATATTCATAGAGCTCGCTCTCGCGATGTCGGATAGGTCATCGCTTCATCAACTAAACAAATAACTTCTGGCCACCACCGCCGGTGTTTGGTCGGAAGTCCATAACGGTTCGTCGCGATTCGTGAACTCTCAAACATAGTCCATTACCTTTATTATAGCACGAAATTGTATTCGCGCATGAATCTCATAGCTGTACTAAAGTCTCCCTGAGGAACAGCAGGGATTTCAGTTGGCCATAGCAAAGTTTCTCTATCCCTTTTGCCTTTAAGTACTGTTAAATTCCCTTGATATTAGTTTAATTAGTATTGGTTATGAACTGTATGAATTTTGATTGTTGGTCTACATGAATTTTATTAATGGTAAAATTTGATTATTAGTATAGCTTTAGTATTTTGCGACATTGTACGATAAAGCTAAAGATATTGTACGCATTGTCATGAAAGAAATATAAAGAACTGTTATGGAAATAAATATCAAATTTTACTAGCTTTTGTTTATAGATGATGCTTTCTAATTATTTAATAGAAAGTTTAATTAATCACAAAAATTGCATCAAATATCTTATTTATTTCCATTGAAGTTAATTATTTTCTTTGCGCATCAGATAAAAAAGCAGTTAATATCCGCGTTTGACCAGCTACAGCATAGCCATTTCTGTTACTTAACATTCTGTATTTCCGATGATGTTTTATATATACCATAAAATGGATACTTTTATTTATATACACGCATCCATTATAAATAAAATATATGAATTCTTAAAAAGATTTTAATATTAATAAAATACTGTCACTTCTAATAAATATTTAAGAATAAAATATAATTGCAAACTTTAATTATAGCACAATATATATAATTATCTTCCATTATATATAAAAAAAAAATAATTAAAGTACAATTTTAACTAACGTTTTATCGAAAATTGAAGCACAATTGAAATTAATTAGATCCCGCCAGAATAGAAGCTAGAAAATTAAAGTTAATACAACCCGATTAGGTATTTAATTACTGCCACAGTCGATTGTCAACAAGTTCGAAATAAATTTTAACATCCCTATATATAAGGTTGTTCCGTACTTCGAACCTCTTAAGTATGCCAACTATTTCTCATGCCCGACGATGTGATCGCCGCGCATAATCATTCCGGGGCGGCGCACAATGAGCGGACAAAACGCCGAAGAATCCCTCGCGCTCGAGTTATTTTTATTACGATCGATTCATTGCTCCGTCTCTCCTCTCTCACGCTTCTTTTCTTTACCATGGTTAGACCCATCCATTTCTCTTACCCCCTTCTCTCTCATATACGGTGGCAATACGGTCGGCATTCATCGCCGTATGCAGCTGGCGGGCGCCGACGGTATGCACCGCCATTGCACCGCACAAGCCGATCTTAAGGTAACCAGACTTACGTGCATTCCTGCTCGCACCTCCCGTACCCTCTGTCTGTTCCCTCTCCCTCCCGACGCATTTCAACGGCTGGAATTCCGCGCAATTTCTCCCGTTATAAACGTGCACACACGGCGAGGGGATGCTCGCGGCGCCAACAACGAAATATTGACATTGCCGGCGCGATGCGGATGCGGACGCATCGGTGGAAAATGCACTCGTTTTGGACGTCGTAGACACGAGGGAGAGTGTACGGTGGTAAAGGGATGAGGGAGAAACTGCGAGGTATTTTCGCGCGATGCATTTTTCCACGGAGTCACGCGTACACGCGGCCGACATGCTTACGGACGCGGAAAACGCCGGCGCGCCACCATGATATAATATACATGCACGTCTTTCCGAGCGCGACTGCGGAAAAATGTGAGTAATCGCGACCGCAGTGAATTCCGGCCGAGGGAAAAAAAAATGATTGGACGCGCAGCTCTCATTTACCGCGTTTCCGTCCGCTAGATTTCTAATTCGTGTCACGTGATGCGAAAGATGCAGGTATATCCGGACGCTGACCTAAACGCGCGCAACAAATAGGAGCCGCAGACATGAAACTTCCATCACGAATTACCGAAGCGTATTCTTTAACTGAGAGAGTCATCTTTCTTTTCGTGAAAAATTTCAACCGAAAAATATTTCCGGTATTATTTAACATGGAAACTTAAAACAACCCGAGAAAAAAAATTTCCGAGGTACAGCAATAATTAATGAAATCTTGTACATCTATTAATGAAAATTATGTAATGCTTTCGTATTCGATCGTATAGATAAACTGTATTACAGTACAACTCGTATGAATTTTAATGAAGAAGATAAAAAGCTCGTATCTCCAGAACAACTTTATTTACAAGGCAAATGAAACTGAAGAACGGTGTAATATAAATTTTATTTATCGCAAAAAATATTACGCAAGCAAAATGTGCATTGGCCTCTACATTCCGCACATTGTTTACCGAGGAAATTAAAATTTTCCAATAACGAAGTGTTCTCCATGTTACCCGCTTAGATTAATCCTCATAATGCAGAATATCAAGTGCATGGGATCAGTAAAACGAGGAAGTGCAGTAGCCCGTTAGTACGATTGCCATTTCGAGAAAGATAACTGAAAACTCTTTGCGTCGAAAAGCTTTCGGAGAATCGGCTTTCCATGGTATAGGCCCATTAAATTCCAGAGGAGTTTGATTAATGTTCGTTCATTGTCGAAAGCATTCAACGTCGGTGAATTTGAATTCAACTTCGACGTGTTCTATCGATTGTTCAACCATCAGGAAATTAATTCATTATGATGTTCTTTCGCCCTCACCCTTCTTTCTTTCTCCCTTTCTTTGTCTCTGTAGCTATCTATACGTCTCTTTTCCTGCACTGCATTGCGAGAGAATTTTTCAATTATTCGTACATATTGCGAACAGTTAGTGAAATTCGTAATATTAATTTCGGCATAGGTATAATTACGCGTGATTGATCGATTATTGGGCTTGTAATATGCTATATTCGATGCTTTTACAGAGTTCGATAGTAAACATGTTTTTCGTATCTAGAATTCTCTGAATTAAAAATTTTGCCCAGTATTCTCTATGAGAGCAATGCGTTTTAAAATATAAATTTTATCTCAAAAATCGAACATTATGTATTTACACGGAACACTTGTACGGAATGCGATTAATTAACGCCCATTGAAATGAAAAAGGGTCGTTTTACATTTCTAATATTCTTTTTTATACATGAATTTTGCGGCTGCAACGAGAATAATATAATAATTCTATTTATGAATACAGGCTTAAACATATGTATATTTGTTGAATGCTTTTAGATACGTTTTTCAGTTTATTGATTTGAACAACAAGCTGTTGACTACGTTTATATTTTACCACGTGCAAACGTGTGCCATTTATTTATTAAATATGACGGACAGCTGTATTAAGAGACAGAGAAAGAGAGAAAGGAAAGACAATATATTTTTATGTTGCGTACATTCGCTTTGTGTACGCGGAGCGTTAATTATCAATTTATTATTGAAATATTCATTAATACAGTAATATCAGAGATTATTCTGCTTCTTACAATTAGCGTTGAAAATAGCACAAATTTATAATATCAAAATATTATTAATAATAAAGATCACGAGTCAAATTACTAATAAATGAAAACTCGTGATCCAGTTTCTGTTTCTTCCCAACTTTAGTAGAAAATGCAACATCGTAATATATAATAAAAAGAAGAGGGAGACATATCAGAATGTCTAAAAGCTCTTTAAATAATTTTTTCGAAGCTTTATCCTCGGGGATACGATAGGAGGCACGAGCGCGTGCAACACCGATCGTCAGTGGAATTCACTCGAGAGGCGTTAATCTTTTTTTTTTTTTTTCTAGCGGAATATCCACCGTTTTAAGCCACCGAGTGTGCTAGCAGGCACGCTCTCCCAGTGGTTACGCTCGAATTTTTACGAGTATTGATTCTCACTCGTGCCGATACTTCTCCTTTTTGCGTTCCAGCGCGTCGAACGTGGTCCTGCTGCTGATCATTCTTTTTATACTGAATCGCTTAAACAGAGTCGGTCCCTTCATTACCAGAGGACTAGTTTAACGAATCATTTTCTCCGCAGCTACTATTGTTTCTCATAACGCAATTTTTATAGCCGACCGCTTTCGCGCGTGAGATTCGCCTGCGCACTTTTCCATTAAAGAAATTTCCATATTAATGAAAGGCCAACGGAGACGAGACAGGCGCGAATATAGGAGAGAGAATGAGAAAGCGGCTCGTTGAGTCGATGAAAAATGCGTCACGCTGAGTGTTTTGCGGAGTTCACGTCGCACTTTAGAAGAGAAGGCAGGGGGGTTGGGATAAATTTAAAAAATAATTTTCCCTCCACCGTTTCCGAATTTGCAAATACCTGTCTCATTTTTAACATGGAATATACTAATATAAAATTAATCTAACACAATATATTCATTTAACTATAAAAACATTTTGATTTATAATAGAATCTCCTGTGCAATAATTCTGTCACATCTAATTTAATATCCTACATAAAATCTTATGAGATATAATTAATTTTTTCGTTCTGCGCTTACTGCTGATTATATTTTTCTCAAAGAGAAATTTTTTTCCTTTGTATGTAGCGCCGAATTTATAGACAAACGATGCGAAACATTTTGCTTTTTCCCGTGCAATATCGCTGACTTTCGCTTTGTTGCTGTTTCTGTTTGCAGGCGAGAAGCACCATATGCTGCCCACCGGAGAGCTGCTCATCTTCTCGGTGACTCCAGCCGATGCTCACTCGACCTACCGTTGCCGCACTGTACACCACGTTACCGGTGACACCGTGGAAAGTTCCTCGTACGCCAGACTCGTGGTTACCGGTAAGTCCTCGTAGGACTTCTCGTAAGTCCGTCAACCCGGATCTCTTCGAGTAGAAGTCCGGAAATCCTCCCTCGATACTAAGTGAGCTCTGAGATTACCACGAAGTTGAGGAAAGGAAAATACGAAGTTAAGCACGTAAAAAGCTGAATAATAATGACGCATTAATTATGCAATAATTAACACGCCGAATAGTCTAGTAGTAGCAATTTGCAGAAATGCCCGACAAGGGATGCTGATTAAAAAGAAAGAATTCCGGCGTTGGTCTCAATCTTTCTTATTTTCACAATAATACAGCTCAACTATTAATTATCTTGAAATAAAATTTTAAATTTATACAGTATAAAATAATTCTATTATACGTAAAATATAATATTGTGCAATATCTTTTTCTCTACATATGAAATATTTAAATGTCTTTCTCTCAAAAATATTAAAAGTATGTAAATGCGCATCTTTCGCGGAACTCACGGCCCATGCATAAACGTTCCCTCGGCGATCTCTTACATCTCGCTAATCCCTTATGCCCGTTACGTTTCACGTGTTCAGGGTAAAACGTTCTAGCGGCATAATTGTGATCCACCCTGTACGTGAGCGGCCGTTCATCCGTAGCATTTCTCGGGATGCCCAGACGCAGAATATCCCCGCGTTTTATGCATCTACTTAACTAAACACGTTTATACATGGCTCTCTCACGCTTGGCCTTCCGCACACAGCGAATCGTGATGCATTGTTGCGCATTTCCCACACGCCACCGACCTCTGGTAGTTCAGCCTCCTCTTCGGCCTCCGGTCGCACGTGGCGCTTTCTTCATGAATAAATCATGAGTGTCCGAAATGCTAATGGCCGAAATGTTCGCCGACGATATTTCTCCCGACCCGTTGAGCCAAATGCACCGACATCGTCGAAAATATGCTCGGTATTTGAAGGGACAACGGCAGGCTGCACCTGCTATGTCCCATGCACAGATTCGAGAAAATTCCCTAATTTCTCTGAATTTATTAGATATTCCTTTCACGGAAAAATTTATAAAATCTCATTTTATTTGGAAATTTAGTCGAACCATATCTTTTCAACATCGTAATTTTTCAGTATTTAACTCACCTTCGCAATTTTCCCTAAACTGACAAAATTACTTAGATTGTCTCTCTCTCTCTAGTCACTATTTATACCTTATAATTGATCCGTGATTACAGCAACGAGTCATTTAGACTCGAGAAGCGAAAATTTCAAATAGTTGTAAAATATATTTAATTGATGCTATGAAGTTTTAAATTGTATATGTTAAAATCGAATCTTCCTGTATCGCTGAAAGTATAGGTTACTTGCATTCTGTACTTCAAATAGGACATTTTAAAATTTAGATGTAGTTTTCATAGTTGTCAAGGATTAAATACATATAACACGAAGAGTTTACTTTAGCAATTTTCTAATTAATTTATGATTAATTTATAAGTGACTCGTCGCTTATCTTCTTTATTTAGCCGAAGTTATATATTGCGGTATATTGTGTTTATAGAAACCATCCGGGATGGTGGCACAAAGGGTGTCTGACGATCTCATCACGAGAATACGGTAATTTCGATCGGTGGTACAGACGATCTCGTCGTCACGAGAACTCAATAGTTTCTCCGGCGCACTTCAGCCAGTGCCTTGTAGAGATGCTGACTGATAAGGCATAAAATAGGTCGAACGCGGATGAGAACTACGGAACAATGGAAGGCTAATGATGAGAGTGCACCATCTTGTCTATTTTGGTCGCACACGTTGAAGCTGGTAAAGGAAGAATTAGACGAACATATTGTTCGCTTCCTAGCAACATCACTCGCTGTTAAATTAACGCTTTGTGCATTTGAGAAGTTGAGAGGTATCACGGACGCGAATTCCAGAGACGCACAAAGTGTCGCTACATTAATCCTCTTTCATTAAGCATACTTAAGGATGCTCCAATTATCTCATTGTGATTTTCTAAAATAATGTGTCGTTGATTAAAAAGCAAAATTGATAAGTTAATTATTAGGAGACAGTAGGAGAACTGCGAACGTGGAATAAACGTGAACGGATACTATTGCAGCATTAGAATAATAATAATCTCTTATTTCTTGCATCTAGTGATAGCCCAATATGTGCTTAGTGTCACTATAATCATAAAACGCATACGCCGGTTAAGGTAAAAAAGCCTTAATGAACATACATCGAAAACTCAATCGTTTCTGAGAAACGTTTTATAAACAATTTTGTATGTTAGTATATAATACCTAACTTATTATAATAGAACGTCAACTATCTTTACAGATCCCACTTTTGGGTATCCGTGAAGTTAGCATGACGATCTATTAATATGAAAGAAATAATGACAGTTCTAGTAACATTTTTATAGTTCTAAAGTTTTTTATAAAAATAAAAAAGAATTCCGCGTTTTTTATACTAAAAAAAACCAAAATCGAACAAATTGCAATCGGGACTCTATATAAATAATCGTAGATCTACTATATAAGTGCTGAATGATTTTTTAACACCCTGTACATATTGTTAATATAAAACAATTGAACGATCGAGAATAGTATTTTTTATATCATCTGTCGAAAATAAATTTTCTGTGCGTGCGTAAAAACTGCCGATGAGAAATTGATAACGGATTGGCACGACCGCGACGAAAGAGCCTTAGCGCCGCTTTGTCGAGTCAGTGTCTTGTTTTCGCGGTTCAGCGTCCTCCTGCCTCTTTTTGTTATCACCTACACCGCCATTATCCGCCCCCGTATTTTTCGTGACCTCTCACCACTCCTCCTTCCTTTCATTGCTTTTCGTGCCAGCGACACGTCGGAGTTATAACACTTCTCCGCCACATTTTAGAGAAGCGCAGCCTTTTAGGCGAGGTAGTGGCATCCATTAAAAAAAAGCTGGGTGCAACTATGCGAATTGCGGACCATTTAGAATTGAAATTTTTAAGACCACGCGGAAAGCATCGCCTAATATGCTGTTGATCATGCGACGTAATATCGATATGTCTTTTCAATTTTTAAACTTACCTTGCTTTTAAGAGTTCAGCGCTTCTGTCGTGGAGAAAAATTAGTCCGCATGGACATTCGAGAATGTTTGCGAAACTATTGTTTGTCAAACGGATGGATGGAATTTAATATCCAGTCTTTGCCAACATCCGATACTTTACAATGCTTAATAGCTTCCGTCGCGTGACTTTTTCGTAAGGTACAGAAATATTTACCTTCATCGTGTCGAAGGAAAATTTTTGCAGGCGAAAAATTTTGAAAGCATATTATCTATTCGCAATAATTCACTGAGAGAACTTAAAGAACTATTTAAAATCTATTTCTAGATTTTAGAAAGTTCTATAAAGGATAAAAATTATTTATTGATATATTTTTATACAATATATACATTAAAAACAGAACTTTAGTGTCAGTTTTATATTAATTTTCAATGAACAAGATAATTTGATACATAGCCAACCAAGAAGAATGCGTAACATCTAATTTAACACGATTCACGAAAAATCTCGTTCGAAAAAAGACACCATTTGGCACCCGAACATAACATTAATTAAGATCGCTGGAATTTTTCCAACGCTCTCAGTTCGGCTTTCAGGCCAAAAGCTTCCAAACCGAAAAAACCGTACCAAACTTTTTTCCGTGCCGAGATGCATCGTGAGGATTGCCAGACTTACGAAGAACACTAAAAGTTAAATTTACGCTGAATTCTCATTAAGTAGACGAGACGTGCGATCTCGTAACTGAGAAAGCACACCAGAAGGTATCTAACTATCGACGATAATGTCACTCGATCTCTACTGAAAGTTCGTCGGTGAGATAGAGCGAAAGTCATATCGAGATAGTCGACGGCTCCTTTATGGCTGCGATTCGCATCGCAGTGGAACAAGTCGAGGACAGGTCGGGCGACCCTGTTAAACCGAGCGTTAAATTAGTTCGACGGCCGAATAGTTCCCAGTGAGTTTAGCATCTTCGCCGCCTTCGTCGGCGAGGTGATCTTGTTCTCTCGGGGATGTCTTTTTGCATCGATAAAGAGAGAAGGAGACCATAAGAAGAGAATGAGAGATAAAACGAGAGAGAGAGAGAGAGAGAGAGAGAGAGAGAGAGAGAGAGAGAAAGGAAGAGCACTACACTGCGTGCCGGGACGCCGAATCGACGCTTTCCGACGCTTTCCGACGCTTTCCTCCAACTCGGGTTGGGAGACACCAACCGAAATCCCGTGTGCAATTCACATTGCGGTCCTGAACAGTCCGCCGCCGGGTACGCGAAACTTGCGCGATTCCCTTTTATTTACGACCCAGCTCCGTACGGAATATTCGGAAAAATTTCGCAAGCCAAGTAAGCGCGTCGTGAACAGACGACGAACTTCTAGAGCATAAGTTCCACGTGATGAACAATGTCGAGACTTAAACTCGGAGGAAAAACAGAAAAATTTATTAGATTTTGCAATAACACAATAAAAGAGCGCATGCACGTATGTTAAATAATTATGTAATAAAAAAACTAAAGAAAAGTAATATAAAATATACTTAATTATAATTCCTTTTTAAAGAGGAAGAACACAAATTGTAATTATAAAAAAAGAGAAGAAAACAGACACACATGTGTACATATATTTAATTTTATTTAAAATATTTTAATTCAGATACCTGTATATTACATTTTAACGTATTAGCTGTCTCGCAATTGTAGACAATTAGAAACGATACATAAAAATGGTGTAATGATAGAAACGAGAGATATGTATATGTATATCTATAGATTTTATATACATAGTGGATTTTTCTATAATACAATTTTGTTCATCGCTTGGAATCCGATACAGTTAGCTGCAAATTTGATTTTAACATTTACAACTTTACGATGAATTCTAGATAAATTGTTGTTTTCACGGGAACCAAACATTCAATTAATCTCGACTGTATGCACTCAGCAATTAGTATTAAAACTCGAAACTGGAACATCGATAATTCTAGTATGACTTTAAACTCATCATC